TTCATTCTACATACAGTAATTATTTTTTCTTTTTATCTTTCAGTTATTCAGTTTTTTCGACTTCCACAATTGTTCAGCAATGCATCTCATGCTTCAGCTGTTTCAGACTGCTTCTGTCATTTCTCTTCAGCCATTTCTTCACAACCTTCAACTATTTCAGCAATTGATTGCAGGTATTTCAGCCTTTCCAGGGCGATACTTCAGCATTACAGCATCCACATGCATTTCTGTAGTTGTATGGATGCTGAAAAGCAACATAGATAACATAGTATGGATGCTGAAAAGCATCCATACTATGTTATCCTGTTCTTTATTGGGTGGATGCTGTAGCATCTACACTAAGTTATCCTGTTCTTTATTTTTCTGATTTTTTCCCGTCCGTTTTTTGGCACTTAATTTCTTCAGCATACTTTCAGCCATTAAGGTATCAAAATGTTCAACTCTTTAAGGACGTGTGCTTGTATTTTTCTTGTTTGTAACATTTATACTTAACATATTTAGCTTTTTTTCAGCAGATTTTGCCCCATTCAAATGAATGGGAAAAATTTTCACATCTTAATATCTTCAGCTAAAACCACCATTTCAACCAATAACTATTCAGCAATTCTTCAGCTATTCACACTGTAAACGCTTTTTGATATTTGTTTTTTGCATAAATCATTTACATTTTATGTCTCATTTCAATAGCCACTCTAGTATTTCTCAGTGTGTAGGACTACTCTTTCTTTCTCATACACACAGACAGAAACACCTACACACACACACACACCTTTTACCTACTTTGTGGGGACCAATAGGAAAATGTTCACATCTTAATATGTTCAGTATACTTTCAGCTAGAAAAGCTATTCTCGTATCAAAATATTCAGGTTTTTCAAGACATTATGGCATATAGTCAAGGTTTAAACAACTTTCATACTTTTGAAAATATTTAGCATTTATTCTGACAATTTTGCCCCATTCAAATGAATGGGGAAATTCTACACTCAGCATAATTTCCAGGTATCAAAATGTTCAGCTCTTCAAGGACATTGATGCTACTACACAATTTTTCTAAATCTCATACTTTTGAAATATTTAGACTTATTTTGAATGTTTTGCCTCATTCAAATGAATGGGAAAATTCTACTTCAGCATACTGTCCCCTATTTCGGGTATCCAAATGTTAAGCGTCAAGGACATTCATGCTTCTATTAACAATTTTTCAAAACATCACACTTTTAATTAAAATATTTTGCTTTACTCTGAAAAGTTTTTCCTTTTCAAATGAATGGGGAAATTCTACTTAAGCATACTTTCAGGTATCAAAGTGTTCAAGTCTCCCAGGACATTCATTTTTCGACTCAGAATTTTTATACACTTCACACTTCTGAAATATTTAGCTTTATTTTGAAAATTTCCCCCATTCAAATTAATGGTTAAATTGTACTTCAGCATACTTTCAGGTAGGTATGCCTTTCAGGTGTCAAAATGTTCAGCTCTTCAAGGCCATTCCTACTTTATTGCATCTCATCCTTCAGATTATTCAACCACGAACTTCAGCCATTTTTTCTCAACTATTTCAAGAAAGAACATCAGCCATTTTTTAATCATCTTTCAGCTGTTTCAAGAATTGATTTTAGGCATTTTCAGGACGATATTTCAGCTTATCAGCATCCACACACATTTACGACAGGAAATGCATTTCTCTAGTTTTAAGTGAAGATCTCAGGACGGGAGGGCAGAGCCCGCAGAGTAACAGATGACACCAGGTAACAGTTCAAACAAATAAAAGGCAAAGCACTCCTCAGTTAATTAGTTCAGACAAAAAAAAGGTAAAGCACTCCTCGGGAATACAGTTAATAAAAAAAGGGAAACATAAAGCAATCGTCACCAGATAACATGACTTTTACCAGAACAGTTCGACGTTGGAAGACATGGTGCTGGAGAGCATACATGTGCGAAACTACCGTCAGAATGAAGAGAAATCATCTGGCGATGAGGACACGCCGCCGTGGTTAAGTACTGCTCTGATGACTGAGAGCAGGTGTGCCTCGCCGCCGAGTGTGTGCTCCTACGTGAGCGGGGGTGGAGTCGCTGGCGACCACGGTGCCTGCTGGGAAAGGCTCGATCCCCGGATGCAACAAATTCTGAATTATCAAATCATTTGTTTTTTGTTTTTATCTTTAAAACTTTATCATTGTGAGGTGACAAAGCACTCAATTGATTTCTGTAATTAACTGTTGTCTGGAGCACACGAGGAAGGGGTGTGATGTTATTATTATACAGTCCACAAATGTGGGAGGCTAGGTAAACAAAACATCAGACTGTAACATGGGAGGATGCTGGTTTCTGGTTCTTTCTTTCTTTCTTCCAAACAATGAAGACAAAGGTTCCCTAACCTCACCTTAAGCTAAAGATAAGGGTAGATTTAACCTAAAGTTAAGGTGATGTTGAACCTTAACTTCAGAGCTGTTAGATCAGAACAGAGGCAAGGATCATTTTGCTTAATGTAACACTTTTGTCGAATTTAGTTTAAAGTTAGAGTTCTCACAACCAGATCACTTATTTGGCTGGGTGTGTAGATAAGCAACTGTTTGCATTTTGTCTTGCAGGTTTGTACCTCTGAACTGTTCTACAAGGATCATAGTACGAGGCATTTGTCTACTTTCCTGGTCTTATGGCTCTAGAATACAGTCTACAGTTTTAAACACTTGTAGATTTTCAGACAGAAAAATAAACACAGGACAGATCATGGAAGTAATCTTTGATCACACATGTTTCATTTAGTGGATGTGACAAAACCTCTACATGTTTGTGCAAGAATGTGTCTCAACATAACATATTTAACATATTTTAAGTAGATTGTAGAACTTTGGGATACATATATACAGTGCCTTGCGAAAGTATTCGGCCCCCTTGAACTTTGCGACCTTTTGCCACATTTCAGGCTTCAAACATAAAGATATAAAACTGTAATTTTTTGTGAAGAATCAACAAGTGGGACACAATCATGAAGTGGAACGAAATTTATTGGATATGTCAAACTTTTTTAACAAATAAAAAACTGAAAAATTGGGCGTGCAAAATTATTCAGCCCCCTTAAGTTAATACTTTGTAGCGCCACCTTTTGCTGCGATTACAGCTGTAAGTCACTTGGGGTATGTCTCTATCAGTTTTGCACATCGAGAGACGGAAATTTTTGCCCATTCCTCCTTGCAAAACAGCTCGAGCTCAGTGAGGTTGGATAGAGAGCGTTTGTGAACAGCAGTTTTCAGTTCTTTCCACAGATTCTCAATTGGATTCAGGTCTGGACTTTGACTTGGCCATTCTAACACCTGGATATGTTTATTTGTGAACCATTCCATTGTAGATTTTGCTTTATGTTTTGAATCATTGTCTTGTTGGAAGACAAATCTCCGTCCCAGTCTCAGGTCTTTTGCAGACTCCATCAGGTTTCCTTCCAGAATAGTCCTGTATTTGGCTCCATCCATCTTCCCATCAATTTGAACCATCTTCCCTGTCCCTGCTGAAGAAAAGCAGGCCCAAACCATGATGCTACCACCACCATGTTTGACAGTGGGGATGGTGTGTTCAGGGTGATGAGCTGTGTTGCTTTTACGACAAACATAACGTTTTGCATTGTTGCCAAAAAGTTCAATTTTGGTTTCATCTGACCAGAGCACCTTCTTCCACATGTTTGGTGCGTTGAACACACCATCCCCATTGTCAAACATGGTGGTGGCAGCATCATGGTTTGGGCCTGCTTTTCTTCAGCAGGGGCAGGGAAGATGGTTAAAATTGATGGGAAGATGGATGGAGCCAAATACAGGACCATTTTGGAAGGAAACCTGATGGAGTCTGCAACAGACCTGAGACTGGGACGGAGATTTGTCTTCCAACAAGACAATGATCCAAAACATAAAGCAAAATCTACAATGGAATGGTTCACAAATAAACATATCCAGGTGTTAGAATGGCCAAGTCAAAGTCCAGACCTGAATCCAATTGAGAATCTGTGGAAAGAACTGAAAACTGCTGTTCACAAACGCTCTCTATCCAACCTCACTGAGCTCGAGCTGTTTTGCAAGGAGGAATGGGCAAAAATTTCCGTCTCTCGATGTGCAAAACTGATAGAGACATACCCCAAGTGACTTACAGCTGTAATCGCAGCAAAAGGTGGCGCTACAAAGTATTAACTTAAGGGGGCTGAATAATTTTGCACGCCCAATTTTTCAGTTTTTTATTTGTTAAAAAAGTTTGACATATCCAATAAATTTCGTTCCACTTCATGATTGTGTCCCACTTGTTGTTGATTCTTCACAAAAAATTACAGTTTTATATCTTTATGTTTGAAGCCTGAAATGTGGCAAAAGGTCGCAAAGTTCAAGGGGGCCGAATACTTTCGCAAGGCACTGTAAATGATTTAAATAAATAAAATTCTGGACAAATACTAATAGAGTACAGAATGAGAATGAACAAATATTTTAACTTTAACCTTGTATCACGCAGATTTCAAACATTACAAAAAACATGCAAAGACAAAAGATTTAACAATTAAGATAAAAAAGAACAAATGTAGGCTGTTCATTTCTTTTTCTCTGTGCTTTGATTCACTAACTTGAAGTCTAAGTACAAAATAATTTAACACTAGAGAAATGTTTTCAGGAAGAGCACAGGATTTTGTGTGACTTCCACTGGGCCAACATCGATTTCATCTTTGCCCCTTAAGCCCTGAGCATCCTGGTTGCAGCGGCATGGCTCTATTGTTAATAATCACAGACACTAGCTGAGGGACACAGACACACATACACACACACACACACACACATTACATCACGGCCTGAAGTAGGTCTTTGTGTTTGAAGAATGTAAAAGTATTTGATGTATATACAGAGGCAAATGTGTAGACCAGTGAGCCTGGGCAGCTCCTCTTCTGTCATCTGTAAATGCCACAGCAGCTCATCCCACAGTTGCTGTAGTAATGTCCTTGTTGTTTTCCCTGAAACTTTCCTCTTTTCTCATCTGCTGCTGCTGCATCATCTTGATGATGGACATTTCATGTTTCTGGATCAGACACACACGCAAAAAACGTAGATATTAAACTGTGAACATGAATGACAAACTTTATGGTCAAAGTGTGAATCTGGCTGTTTTGCAGGTTGCAGAAAGGTGGAAAGGGAATAGGGGAGGCAGAAATGGAGGGGGGGGGAGACAGATGTTGCTACATACACATACTGTGCTGAAACCACTGGGCCATCAGTAAAGAACATTTAAAAAGAACAGTTTTGGGAAATAAACTAACTTGCTTTCTTGCTGCAAGGCAGACAGCACCACGTAGATGTCTATATGTAAACGCTGCAGTGTAGCTACAGCCAGCTGTCAGTTAGCTTAGCATAAAGACTGGAAACAGAGGGGTGACACAATGTGTCTACCAGTACCTCTGAAGGGTGATACAGGGCTTCTTATTCAACTCACAGCAAAAGAGTGAATGTCTAATTCCCAAAATACTGAATTTGAGTTTGCTCCAACAGTGCTAAAGCAATAAAGGGAACATTTTTACACCATATGTATTTGTATGGCACTGTATGGCTGACTACATTAAAACAAAAACAGCCCTCATAGCTGTAACATGACAACTTCAGAGAAATAAACTGAAGGTTGTTGATGAATCTTTCCTGTTCTTCCCATAATGAAATGTAAAGGGAATCAACATTAATTAAAATAATTGAAAATTAAAAATTGTAAATAATTCTAAAAAGGTTACCAAACAATTATCCAGATGTTAAAGTTGCTGCATAATGCTAAAATGAGAAAATCTCTAACATGTTAAACATCCGTGAGACTTCTTACCTACATCGGCTGTATTGTCGGCCAGGGAATCAGAGTTCATTACATACTTGCTGCCAAATATCTGCACCAACTGGTCAAAAAACTTGCATTCCTGTTTCTCTCCTCTGGAAATGAATTTTGGAGTTTGTCAAAAGGGACAACGTTTTTCATGAAAGACATTTTGTCAACAAACAACTGCACTCACTTTCTGCCTTCTAGGAAGTGTCTGAAATTGGCCCTCAGCCTCTTTATCCTGGTCTGGCACTGTTCAGGAGTGCGCAGGTAGCCTTGGCTTGCCATGACCTGAGAAATCTGGATGAAGATGTGTTTGTTCTTGGTGCAGCCTTTCAAGTTCTCCTGGATTTCCTCACTCCCCCAAATGTCCAGGAGGGCCTCTGTCTCCCCGTCACTCCAGGGCAGCTTTGAGCTGTCAGCAACCCACTGGTTATCTGAGTCAATGAACAGAGCAGAGTTCACAGAATATAAAATATGAAATAAATAGAACAACTGCAATAACGAGAAAAGCTACACAGAGATACCAATATGCACAGCACTCAGTTACTACAAAATCATTCATGACTGACTTATGGATTCAGAGTCAGGAGTCTAGGAACCTCCAATGAGGCTTCCATACATTTCTTATACTGAAAAAAAGCCACCTAGCTGTTGTCAATTTTCGTTCTTTTCACCTTTCTTGTGGCCCAGTCCAGGTGTGTAGTCGTCCAGCTCATCTGTGACCGATGTGTCAGCAACTGAGTCATCTACTTTCAACTCCTTGCTGAAGATTTTCTCCATCTCACTGAAGAATTTAAATTCCTCCCTGAATTTAAAGGGAAAAAACTTAAACATAAGCTTAAAGTATGCAACCCTAGAGCAGCTGGTAAAGCTAATCCCATCCAAATCTCAAACACTTTCCATGACAATTAAACAACACAGACACAACAACAGAAGTTGGTCCAGTTCAGACATCATGTCAAAACAAAACAGAAATCACTTTACCAAAGAAAACACCCACTACACTTATCTAGTGCTGCTACAAAGCTAATGGATATTGCTAAATCTGAGTGCTTTAATTTTTACAAAAAAAAAAAAAAAAAGATTTCAACTGCATAAAATCCTAAAATCCTGACATATATTTTTACATTCATCCAAGATTTCTTTTGCTGTATTTATGAATATCGCCTGATAAAGCACATGCAAGATTAATGGAATATTGTGTGTTTGTTTGACATCTAACTAACCAAAATGGCCTCAGAATCTTATTAGCATGTATAATAAATGTGTTCATAAGAAATAAGAATAACTGTTTTGTGTTCACTGACTTTTCGTGGAGGAAGCCATATTTGAGGCGCTTGATTCGGGTGTAGCACTGCTCCGAGGTCCTCATAAATCCTTGGTCACTCAGCTTTTCTGAGATGTACTCAAACACATGTCGGTTCTTCAGGCAGCCCCTCAGGGTGAGTTGAACGTCATCTTCACCCCAGACCTCCAGCAGCGTGCGGGTCTCCTGGTCTGACCAAGGCGTCTTTCTGCTCAGGTCAGCCAGGAGGTGGTTGGTTGGAGGCTGCTCATCTAAAAGGATGAACAAGAAATCAGTACAAAAACTGTGTGTTGTCCAGAGGTGTAATAACACAAACCACCAATTGGATTTTGCACATTTAAACCTACACAAGTCAGAATCCTTCTCCATAAGGGCTTGAAAAGCGGCATCAGGAGCAGTACTGTCCACATCAGCATACACAGAGTCATCTCCGAGCACTGGAGCCAGAAGGGGAAAGTATCGAAACACAGCAGGACGTCCTCCACTTCTACAAAACATAAATCAAAGATAAGGTGAAATCACTGCCACCCACTCAACCGGTGAACCACAAACTCCTTTTATTTACCTCTGGTTGTTGCAGTAACGCCTGTAAGTCTTCTTCAACCTTTTGATTCGGCAGTGGCACTGCTCTGCTGTCCTCAAGTATCCCATGGTGGCCATTTTCTCTGATATGTCTGCAAATATGTGCCCATTTCGGACACAAGTTTTCAGACTGTGCTGCACGTCATCTGCAGCCCACACTTCAATGAGAGCCACTGTCTCTTCCTCTGTCCACGCTGTGTTGATGCCATCTATGCCTATTTCAGCTGGAATTAAAAAAAGATGAAGTTGAACCTGTGATGGAATGTTTATGTAATGGAGCATTCTGAGTGCTGTGTGAATGAATGGAAAGGACTCAACCTGTACACTGGTCTGTTTGTTCATCTCTTTCATCATACTCATCAATAGAAACTGCTTCCTGTCCCAGTATTTGCTCCAGCTGGTTGTAGAATCTATAATTGACTCTTATTCCACATCTAGAAGATGTGAAAACAGAAATATGAGCCATTATGAGCAAAGTGGATTATATTTACAAACAGATAAAAAGTCAAACTAATGGAAAGACTGATCTCACTTCTTTCTGTCATAGCACTGTCGAAAGTTGTTCCTCAGTGATTTCACTTTCCAGCGGCACTGCTCCACAGTTTTTGAGAAGCCAAGGTCTTGCATTCTCTCTGAAATGTTGGCGTAAACATGCCCGTTGTGAACGAAGCCCCTCAGCACTCTCTGGACGTCTTCATCGCCCCAGATATCAATAAGTGCCAGGGTCTCCTCATCTGACCATGAGTTGGGTGCTGCTTTCTCTGCTGACATGCTGATGTCTCCATCTTACAGTATAAACAGTTAGTTTCATTTTTTTGGTTTCATTTCTTCTTTCTCCTCATCTAATAATGCTTGTATAGTATAGATTAACTTCATCATGATAACCTCTACAGTGTTATTATGAGTTTGCATTAAAGCAAAAACACATTCTTCCTCTTACAAACAAAAGCTGAAGTCATGTGAAATAATAAACACCCTCAGCTCAAGAGAATCAGGGGGTTAGCTGCTACTTGGTCTTGGTGCTTATGGTGGCTAATGTTAGCTCATTTCAGTGTGCAGGGCTGTTAATAAGGCAACATGTGCAAGTACTGTAAAAATTCCCCTCTTAATTCAAAATGCTATATACTGTACAATGATATTAATGTACATTACTACATTAAGATTTACAGTTAAATGAGTCATATGTTACATTTTTGAATGTGTAAATCCTGACAGCGTTTGAGCTCACATCCATTTACTCCCACTGATGGTATGGCTTTGCCATTACTACACAAACTTCATTTAAATGTTACTATAATGACTATGATAATAATATATGATGCCAGAAGAATCGTTACGTAATGCCCTATAAACTTGTAGTTCCCATAAAGCAACCTCATAAGTGCATGAATGCGACACCAAAATCCAGTTTATCAGCACATTAACGTGCAGCAATTGCACACATTTTCCAACATGCAGCTGCCATAATTTTGCAAGGAACAATATTCTAGTTTTTGTTTCTCTTTTACATTTACACTACACATATTAGGATGGTGTAAATCTAAGACTAATTGCACCTACAATCAGCAAAGAGTGTAATATTGAGCATTGGTGCTGTTCTTTTCACTACAGTGAGTTGATAAGGGGATATCTTACCTGCGTCAGGAACTGATTCTCCATTGGAGTCTTCGGATATTTCAATGGAGTCAGTTACCACAGTTGAAGATGTTGATGGCTGCTTGTCCATGATTTGTTCCAGCAGATCATAGAATTTAAAATCGACTCTATCACTCCCAGATGAGCTGCAGGCAGCAAATACAGGTGTATTAACACCCAGACTACTGTGCAGATAACAAAACAAATATTCACATTCAGTTTTTACCTCATATTCTCCAGACACTGGCGATAGATAGATTTCAGCCGTTTAATCCTGGTATGGCACTGCTCGGCGCTGCGGGTGTAGCCGTTGGCTCTCAGTTTCTCTGATATTTCGGTAAAAATGTGGCCGTTGTGGGGATAGCGTCTCAGGCTTTGCTGGACCTAAATGGAAGCGAAATTGATGTTAAAGGCAGAAATATAAAATAAATACTTAAAATCACTTTAACAATCAAACTGATGAGACTGATCAGGCACCTGCAAGCTCCAGAATGCTATATTTATGTGGCTGATTTAATGGTCTCTGTGCTGCTTTGAGGTCTCTGTTGACAGAGACGCTCATGAGTTTTACTTTGCTTTTCAACAGGAGGAAAAAGCATCTGACATAGTCAAAGCTTTAATTCACAACTACATAAAATGCACAGTTAAAATAAGTCTGGTTTCAGGCCTTCTGAAACTCTGTCTGCATATCAGATCCTTTTAAGCAAAATAAGCAAAGTAACAATTTATTCTGATAAATCAGGCAAATTATCAAAGGTTTAACTACTGTATGTCTGTCAAAATGCAGGAGTTCCATTATGATACTATGCTTTACCTGTGCGTCACCCCACATCTCCAGAAGGATGATGGTCTCTTTGTCGGACCAGGGGACTTTCTTCCTTTCTTCTTGAACGCCCACAGCAGACTCTGATGGGGCACAAATAAAACCAGAAAATAAGAATCTGACACACAGGCACAATGATCAGTGAGGGCATGAGTAACAGCATGAGTAAAAACACCTCAGCCAGATATCAAAGTTATCCTCCCAGTTGCCCTGCAGTTGGTGGAAAACATTTGTTTACCATTCTCACAATGGGAGTAGGCAGGAAAGTCGTCATCTTCAGCCCGTGCTGGTATTTCATCCAACTGTGGTGCTGAAGGGAAGTTGTTCACTAAAATTCTCCCCAGTTCAGTGTAAAACTTGCACTCGACTTGCTCCTGACCCTTCATGCTAGAGTTTGGGGATAAAAAGAGAGCAGATGTACATTGTAAACTTGAAGTTTACTTGAAGTTGTCCTTTCACCCTTTCTGGGGTAAACATGCATACTTGTTTTGGTAGCACTGCCTGAAGCTTGACTTCAGCCTTTTCAGCCTTGTCTGGCACTGCTCTGGTGTTCGGGAGAAGCCCTGGGCAGCCAGTTTGTTAGATATGATGGAAAAAATATGTCCAGTTCTGTTCATCCCTCTCAGCTCCTGCTGCATCTTGTCTTCACCCCACAGGTTGATGAGGGCCAAAGTCTCCAAATCTGTCCATGGAACACTTCTCGTTCCTTAAAAAATGTGAATCAGATTGTACAGTATAATAAAATAATAAAACTAAATAACAGTATAATTAATGTATCATGATTGTATTGGACTATGTTTTACTAGACGCATATAATATGGTTGATAGCTGTATTTTTGTGCTTTGAGAAGTATTCATGGATATAGATACACAGCAAAGAAACACCTTATAGTAACAGAAACACCTATCAGTACTGTAATACAGTCAAATACAGGAAACTTGTTCTACGTTGAGATTGTTTCAGAGTTGAGTTAATTCAAAAATGACTTTTTCTAAGGATGTAGCTTGTGGTGATGCTACATTTCTCCGTGTTATGTTGCAACTGTATTCTTTTTCCTTCATACCCTGTGTATGCTATACAGCTTTTGCATCCACTGCGAATTCAGTGATTCTTTTTTTATTTATAAAAGGACAGACATGTTGAATGAATATTTTGGGTTACATCTTTTAATATCACACTAACTTAAACATCCAGCATCCCTATGGCTGCAGTGGCTTAATGAAATGTGACACAATACCGATTTCCAGCTGGCTCGTTTGGCCAAGAAACTGCAAGTCCTCATCTCCATCTCGGGACTCATCTTCATCGATGACCTCTTCGACGTCATATGTGACCTCTGGGACAGACGAAGGAACTGAGGAGACGAGGACTCGCTCTAGCTGCTCGTAAATTTTATGCTCTAGTTTGGAGTTTCCTCTGGTGGAGGAACAGGCAGAACACAGCAACTTGCTTCACAAGTTACAGCTTAGGTTTGAGGAAAATACAATTATTTGACAAATTTCAGTGATAGAACAAAAAGAAAAGAAGACAGCACTGAAAGCTGTCATTTTAAGCCCACCTGTTGTTGTTCTGGCGGAAGCATTTCTTTAGTCGTTTGATCCTGGTCTGGCACTGTTCCACTGTTCTCATGTAGCCCCTCTCTGCCATCTTCTGTGCAATCTGTGTGAAAATGTGACGGTTTTTTAAGCAGCCCTTCAAAGCCCGCTGCATCGAGTCCTTGCCCCAAATATCGAGCAGATGGAGCGTCTCCTCATCTGACCAGGGAACCTTTGTATCTGTTACAACTTTAAAGGAACCTTCTTGAGGGTCTAAAAAAGACACAAAGTGTTAATTAGAGGCCTGAACTTAGATTCATGTACCCAAATATCCCCTGAACCATATATAAACTGTACAAACCTGTATATTCTCCCCATATTGAGATTAGAGGAGATTCATCTGAGTTTTCATTAACGACTGAGGAATCCCTGTAAGGTAAAAGACACACCAAGCACAAATTTGACACGTTGGCTTACAAACCCTTTTCTTATTAGATCAAAATATAATGCTTTTCCATTTGGGTCAAAAAAAAAAAAACATTAGAAAGACTGAGCATTAAATTATTTTAAAGCCACAGGTGACAAATATCTATTTCCAAATTGTTAAATTAATAAAAAAAAAATTTTTTTAAAGTGACAATAATACTAAAAATGATTCTTGGCACCTGAACCAATAGGAAGCCCTGCTGCCATGTCAATGAAAATCTGAAAATCTTACAAGAAGGCTGATGCATCCACAGGCTGCTTGGTAGGAATGTCTACACCTCCGCTCAGTTTCCTCTTCCTGAGAAGCCGCTCTCCTCTCAAGTTTCGGCTGTCCTCATTGGCTGGTGACTCTTTGTCGGCAGCCTCATTAGATGTAGTGAGGTCTATGGTTTCATCACATAGACGTGTACTAACTAAGTTTGGCATTTTCCTCTCCTGAGAAATGTTCCCCCCTCTAACCTGCTGCTGCCAAATGCCAGAGTCACTTGTCTCCTTGAGACTTTGCCTGATGGTTTGAGAGCACCTCCTGTTCGCCCTCTCCAGGCTGCTTGTGTTGATGACAGCACTGAGACATTCTCTGTGCTCCGGAGAGGTTGAGTCTTTGAGAGTTGGTGAGCAGGAGGCCATGTTCATGATAGGTTTGGTCCCAGGAGGCAGTGACAGGGAGGAGAGGATGTAGTCGTCCACTGGTAATAATCCAGGATCTGCAATTGAAAGTAAAGATGGTTAATTAGGCCCAAACATAAAATGTTGAGAAGGAAACTACTGTTAAACTTTCAAACTGAATGACAGAAGAAAAGCTATTGCAACTGCATATTCACCTTCTCTTAAAAATGTTTGAATAGTAATGATTTTCTGCTATGAGGAAACCAACCTATAGTCAGTTTTCTTTGCTTAAGGATTTGCAGTTTCAGAAACATGGAAAATTATATATCCAATATGAATCCTGAAAAATCTTTTTAACTTAATGCAGATGAAAAACAATCTTTTGTTAAAAACTGGTGTTCTTAAATGAGAAATGAATATTTCTCTCTGTTTGGTTGGACATTTTTCAGCATAGGTACTTTGTTTTGTTGACTTAATTACAATATATATTAACTCCCACTACCATGAGCCTACAGTACCTTTCTTTTCAAAATGACCGAGATTTCTGTGGTGTTCCAGTACAGCCTTCATGTCCTCTGGTGGGAAAAAGTACTGTAAACAGTCATCTAGGAACGACGGAGCACCTCCAAGCAAAGCTGCCAACTAAGAAGAGAGAAAAATGACATATTTCCAAGAACCCTGCATTCATTTATTAGGCTGGCAATTTATTTTTCTACGGGCAAATGAGTAAGTAAGTAAAAATTAACTTATATGGCGCAGTTCTAAACCAAAGTTACAAGGTACTTTACAATAAAAGAAACAAAAACAAAAAGCACATAAATAACTTTAAGACAAATTTAAAACAAATAAATGAGCAACAATTAGATAAAGGCAATAGAAATAGGCCAGAAAAAGAACCAGAAACAAAAAGACAGACGCACAGATGCACTGATGCCCTAATCATTGCCAGTTACTAATGCCTGTCTAAATAAATGTAAGTTTTTTTTTTAAGTTTTAAGTTTAATTTAAGTTCTGGTTCAAGATCAGGGTGTGGAGTCATTTTTCAGTCACTCTTGTGGACAGGGTCTTTAAGTCTGCTATGAGTTAGCAACAGTCAGCTAAGGTTATCCATTCTGATTTGCCTCAGTCATTAAAGTGATATCTAAACAATTTAACCCTATTAAACCATTTGTATCATATTTGATACGTGAGGTTTCTGAGCAAAAAAAATCACCAAAAACCCCCATATATCAAATGTGATACAAAAAAAAAAAAGAAATAATCTAAATAATATGGCAACTCTATTCCTATATGCCTGGACTGTCTGTCTATGCATATATGGCAAATGAAAATCGTGAATCATGAATCATGATTTATATTTTGTATTTTCCTAAAAGGTTTAATAAACATCTCAGTTCCAAAAAATTAGAATGTTCTGGCGATTTTTTGATGTGTCAGGCTTTACAGGGTTAAGTGACTTTTTAGCCAAACAAAACAAGAATGTATGCAGGTATATACAGCACCTATCTCCCAAAATGGCACCCCCATCCCAACATTCAACACTGTGTGATGTACCTTGACATTCTCTACTGTAACTTTGGATGCATATACTATCCTATGTTTCAGGAAATTAATCAGCATCACATTAGATCCTCATGTATCCATGTGAGAAATAATCAGTGTAAATGTGGTTTAATGTATTGTTTTCTCATTATTTAATAAAGAAAGTCACTTTCGGCTTTTCCCGTTTTAGGGGTCGCCACAGCGAATTGTCACACTGACGACTCGCATGTTGACATTTGGCACGTGTTTTACGCCAGATGCCCTTCCTGACGCAACCTGGATTCAAACCCGGGCGCCACGGCGAGAGCGCTGCGCCTTAACCACTAGCCTACCAGGGACAGCATCATTATTTAATATCTTTATTTATTATCTGTAATTTTATCTAGTGTGTTTCTGCTACTAATTTACTGTAACTCTGCTGTAGCGTTTCACTTCAACTGCACGGTACAAAAAACAGAGCAAGGGCAACACAGTCCACTGGGATACTATGGTGAAACTGCAACCACTTAACCCTCCTCTATATCTGTCTCTAGGACAGCAGTGCAGACAGACGAGCATCTGCATTGAGCCTACGTGCCAGTCCCTCTGAAAAGGCAGTTGGATTTGAAACACTGCCACAGCTGCCTCCTGGTTATACAATGACTCTGGAGCATGTGGTTTATTTTGATGGTGAAAAAAAAGCTGAGGAACAACAAGCAGCGCAGACCTCCCACAGGGCCTGATAGTCTCACATCAACACTGTAGTGGGGAGTTTACAAAATGTGGATGTACATGAGCATGATTGCCAGCAGCAAAACGCTGTAGTGTGGTTATGAAAACACGCTGTTTTGATAATAGCACTAAAGAAAGGCTCACAGGGTCATCAACATCAGTGTAAATGTACAGTAGCATATTTTATGCTATTATTTCATCAGATATGTTGGTTACAAATTCAATTCAATTTTATTTGGAAGTAACAAATGCATGGACCTGTTTTTCAGCATCACTTTGAGAAAGGAAGTTCCTGTTTTTGGCAGGTGAAAGAAGGCAGTTCTAGAGACTTGGTTTATGTGTGATTTAAAGGACATATTCCGGTAAAAAATGACTTCAAGGTTACCCAAAGCAGTACTGGAGGCCAGAGCTATGTCATCTAGAATAACTGAATTGTTAGATAGTATATTTCTAAGGTTTTCAGTCAAGTATTATAACATGCATTTTGTCAGAGTTTAGAATTAAAAAATTACAGGTCATCCAGGCCTTTGTCTGGAAGTGTCCTTGAGCAAGACACTGAAGCCCCCAAGTTGCCTGTGATGGCGGTGCGTATGCACACAGCGGCCTGGAGCCCCTCGGCTCCAAACAAAATTTAATTGGTCGTGTCACAATGTTACAATGACAATAAAATAAAGCTGCTTCTTCTTCTCTTCTTCTTGTCTTTAAGACATGCTTGAAGTTTGACCAGTTGACCAATTGATCTGATTCATCTGGGTTCATAGATAAATACAACTGAGTATCATGGAAAACTATGCTGTTTCCTGATAATATTGCTTACAGGGAGCATGTACAAAGTGAAGAGAATTGGACCTAACACAGAGCCCTGTGGAACGCCGTGACTAACTTTAGTCTGTGTGGAAGATTCATCATTAATGTGAACAAATTGGAATCTATCTGGTAAATAAGATTTGAACAAATTTAGTGCAGCTCATTTAATCCCAATAACATGTTCTAGTCTTTGTAATAAGATGTTGTGATCAGTGGTGTCAAAAGCAGCACTGAGATCTAAGAGGACAAGTATGGAGACAAGTCCTTTGTCTGAGGCTAGGAGGAGATCATTGGTGACTTTCACCAATACAGTTTCTGTACTATGATGGACTCTAAAACCTGACTGAAAATCCTCAAACAAATCATTCTTGTGCACGTGGTCACATAACTGCTTTGCAGCAGATTTTTCAAGGATTTTAGAAATAAAGGGGAGATTGGATATTGGTCTATAATTAGCTAGGACACCTGGGTCAAGAGTAGGCTTTTTGAGTAGAGGTTTAATTACAGCAACCTTAAAAGCCTGTGGAACATAACCTGTTAATAGAGGGAGGTTAATCAGATCTAGTATGGATGTGTTGATTAGGGGTAAAACAGCTTTGTCAAAGAGACATTTTGATGATTTAGATGAAGTAATTGTTGTCAGCTCAGAGAGATCTATGGGAGAGAAGTAGTCCAAGTATAAATGAGGTCTTACAGATGTTTCTAAAGCCTATGCACTTGATGATACATCTGTGAGAATTGTGGGAAGGATCTGACTAATTTTTTCTCTAATAGTTGTGATATTATTTGTAAAGAAACTCATGAAGTCATTACTACTGAGATTTAATGGAATATCAAGCTAGGACAAACTCTTAGCGGAGCGCCACCTCCTTTCCATTTTTCGTGATGCCTGCTTTATGGAGCGGAGCTGCGAGCTGTACCACGGGGCTAGCCTCCTCTGTTTCACTACCTTCTTTTTCAGAGGGGCAATGGTATCAAGTGTATTACGCAGGAAGGCTGTAGTACTATCAACAAGATTATTGACTTGTGTGGGAGTAAAGTTAAGGTGGCCTCCTTCCACTGTGTAGGCAAACGGCACTGAAGTAGATAAAGACGGAATTATTTCCTGAAACTTGGTAACAGCATTGTCAGATAGACATCTACTGTAGTGGAATTGTTTCCCACATAGAGTACAATCTATTAATTTAAATTCAAAAGTTATTAGAAAATGGTCAGACAGAAGAGGGTTTTGAGGAAAGACTATTAAGTGTTCAGTTTCAATGCCATATGTCAGAACGAGATCAAGAGTGTGATTAAAACAGTGAGTGGGTTTATTTACAGTTTGAGAGAAGCCAACTGAGTTTAACAATGAACAGAATGCATTGTTGAGGCTGTCATTGTCGGCATCTACATGAATATTAAAGTCACCTACTATGATTATTTTATCTGTACTAAGTACTAAATCAGACAGAAAGTCTGAGAATTCACTTAAAAACTCTGAATAAGGAGCAGGTGGATGGTATACAATAACAAACAGAACAGGCTTTTGAGTTTTCCAGTTTGGGTGTGAGAGACTCAGGGTGAGACTTTCAAATGAGTTATAACTATGTTTAGGTCTAGGGTTGATTAATAGGCTTGAGTCAAAGATCGCTGCCACGCCACCACCTCGGCCTGTGTTTCGAGGGATGTGACAGTTACTGTAACTAGGTGGAGTGGCTTCATTTAGACTGACATATTCTTCCTGCTGTAACCATGTTTCAGTAAGACACAATAAGTCAATGTGATGTTCACTTATCAAATCATTCACTAACAGAGATTTAGATGAGAGAGATCTGATATTTAATAGTCCACATTTGATTGTCCTATTACTTTCTACTATAAGAGGAGTCATCTTAATTTTAATTAGGTTCTTATGAATAACTCCTCTGGAGTTGATTCTTGATTTATATAATTTAGGTGGGTGGGGGGCAGACACAGTCTCTATGGGGTACTGGGAGCGTTGGGTGGGTAGCATCTGCAAAGAGACCACAGAGAGGCGTGTAAGACTGCAATGCTGCATCCTGGTCTCAACTCTGGGTTGTCATAATTTAGGTTGTAAAATAAACTCGTCCAGATTTCTAGATATGAGAACTGCACCACCCAAAGTAGGATGGATGCCGTCTCTGCTAATCAGACCAGGTTTCCCCCATAACGTTTTCCAATTGAAGCCCACATCATTTTCTGGGCACCACCTAGACAGCCATCGGTTGACTGATGACATGGGGCTAAACATGTCATCATTGGTCACATTGGGTAGGGGTCCAGAGAAAACTACGGACTCTGACATTGTTTGGGCAAAGATACACACCGACTCAAAATTCCTTTTAGTGATGTCTGACTGGCATAGACAGGAGTCATTAGTGCTGACGTGAATAACAAAGGAGCAAACAATGTTATTAGAGTGAGGCACATTATTGTGTTTACTGTGTAACTGGGTTATATCGTGTACCAAGCTAGACGTAAAAAAAACATGGCACCTGTGTGATATCTGGAACTGGCAGCAGCTCATCCAGTCTTGAAATGAATTCCCACACGAGCATCTCAAGTGCTGCATCGTACTTTGATCCAAAATACACAGGGAAGATTTCCTACAATTGACAAAAAGTGACAGAGAGATTAAGAAAGAGATAAATTTATGATATATCATTGGAGTTTGATTTCTCTGATGTACAGCATAACTTTCCTCACTGCACTTGTTGCTCCTTGTTTTGTTTTACTGAATCAGTGTTTGTCTCACCTTCTTAGCAGGGTTTTGAAACAGAACAATGAGCACAGAACAATGGGTTTCATTCACCAACATCTTCCTCAGTGTTTTCTTTGTAGGTTGTTCTTAAGAAAGAACTAAGGAAAGTTTATGCCTGATTCATGAAAGCATTCTTAAACCGAAGAATTGTTCGCACATGTTCTTGTATTGATAAATCCCGCATGTTCGTAATTTGAAAGCGTGTGCCAGTCCTTCCTAATTACCGTAGGTTAACGCCCCAACCAATGCCCATAAAATGGCATGAGACTGGGCCATGTGCATATAGGAATCTCAAACACAAACTGAAAAGAAAAGAGAAAAATCTAAAGATGGCAGAGCAACAAACTCCAAACCAAAGATCAACTTGTGAAATGGAGAACAGTGAATGAACTGCCATATTTAGTAGCATCAGTAATATAAACTAAAACAAAAAAGGCGCATGGGATGCTCTTGCTCGTTGTGTGAACACTGTATAAGGTGAAGGGTGCACAACTGTTGAATTAAAAAGCTGGTTTGAGGCAACAGACACAGAAGAGAGATGCTGACCAGTGGAGGAGGACAGGCTGGCCCAGAGTTATCTGAGCTGGACCAGCGCATCGGGGCCATACCAGCTCTCTCGGGTGTGCCATCAGCTGAGCGAACTTCCATGTTTGCACCCGGGTCCCTTCAACTGCCCCGGGTCTGATCTCAGATGTGGTGCTGGACAACCAAACACTTACACAGACGGCATCCACACTGACCAAAATATCCAAGAGACACTTAAAGAACATAACAGAAATTACATGCACTTAAACATATTTGTTTTTAAGAAATACGTTTCCTAATTCTAAGCTACAAATAATCATACTGTGAAAGTTCATTTTAAAACCTTAAAAACAAACAATTAATTGCTTGCTGTAATTTTTAGTGCAGTGTTTGTAAAATACTGGGAAAAATGTTAAAGAAATACTAATAATGACAAAACTGTTATTGTAGCTGAAATATTATATTATGTAGCTGTATAACTGAAGAAAACTAAATAACTAGTTATTTCACAACCATGTCGGTGCTCAAACGTGTGTAAGTGTGCTCTTGAATATGCATATATTCTGTTCTTACCTAAGAACAAATTCCAGATAAGAAAACATTGCTGGATGCAAGAATCTTCGTGAAAACTTCATAAGTCGGTTTTACAAACAAATTTGTTCTTAAGAACAGTTGGTGAATGAGACCCAGGGAGTCTGGCAAAACCTCTTAAATGGCGCTGCTGCCTTTTTTATTGTGGTTGTAATTCTGTCACAGCTGCAGAAACAATCCAGTTAACCCACCATCGACAGGACACACGTAATTCTTTACAAACATTAAACCAAAGACCCATTCTGAGCATTCTGTAGATCTTTAGACATACTGTATCATCATGAGCAGCATCTCTACAATGATTGTGACATATTCCCACCTGACAACAGATCGAAGGAAAACATTCGAAGGAACAGCTAAAATATCTTCACCTCTACAGTTTCAAGTCCAGTGAGATGTTTAGTCAATTTTAATGTGTGGCAGATCATCTGGAATCATGTACGTATGCACATCAACAACTTATCTTCACTGAAATGTGCAAAAATCTTTTCCCCTTCTCAGCTTAAAGGAAAGATGGAAAAAAACATTATGCAGTGAGCGTCATCTCACCTCGAAAAAATATTTTCTTTCAGAGGGATCCTCCAGTAATGAATGCACCAGCTCCACAAAGTTCACCTCAGATTCCTCCACTTGGTTGATTGTTACCTGAAACATACACACATACACAACATGACACAAAAATGCTCAAATTAAGGTGATGGGAAGCAAACAAGACTTGTAACAATTTCTGTAAATATACTGTGGTGTACATTTTAAAAATCTATTTCATTGAAGCCATAAACAGTCATGATTCCTGACACAGCTCTGTGTTTTGACTCTTTCTTCTCCTGCCTTTTCCCTCATCATCATTTCCTCCGAGACTGTTATTTATGTTATTTTCTAGACATTTTGAGGGACTGTCTTTACCTCATCCAGCCTCAAGATGTCATCTGGCTCTTTCCGTTAACCTTTGTTCTCAGACACCTTGCTCCCATTATCCTCATCAACCACACCTGACTGTTTCTGTTCTACCTTGTGTTTACCTGTTTGAATTACTCTCCTGTTTTGGATATTCTGCTTGGTGTCTGGACTTTGTTTCTTTGCCTTTGCCCCTGGATTGTTTGCCTGAACTTGCATTGTTTCTCTATATTATCGACTTCGGTTTGGACTCTGACTTTGCCTCCTGTCTTCCCTGCCACTTTCTTGTGTTATTTTAGTAAATTGTTTCTTTGCATCTGCCAGTCTGTCTTCCTGTTGTGTCTATGTTTGTGCCAGTTCCTCCATTTTCTGTTTCTTGTGAAATGTGACAGAAAACAATTAGAAACAAGGTTTGAAATGGTTTAAACAACTCTCACACACACCAGGGAAACAGCTGTGTTGTCAAATAACAGTTTGCTTACATGGTGATCCATGACAGTGCTCACTGGTGCTTTAATTCTATCCAGATGTGGCTGAATGGTCTGCATATCCACTGGGTGCTCACCTCGACACATCTCCAGAACCAGCTGGTTTTACACAAAAAAAAACAAAAAAAAATCACACGTCTCATTCATAAACCTCCTGATGAAACAATAAACCTCCAGCTACTTAAATGTTGCTTTATTTTCTGTGCAACTTCAATACATGTATATGCACAATTAAATAATGTTTGACTTTTTCTTCAGGGTTTGACTTTTTGTCCACCTACATTATATAGGTAGAAAGGAAAGCTATTGTTATTGTAATACTGAATTTACACTGTTATTATCTACCCATGAACTTTTTGTGCTTTTTTTATTTTAAATTTGCACATTTAATTTTATTAAGGGTATTGATAGACAATGGGTAAAATAAGTTTCAGCTCAGAATCACTGGGCAGAGAATATTACAGACCCGGGCTCTGAGTCCCAGAATAATCTGAGCCCTTTGACTGTAGCTCATCAGCTCTGGGACCAGCTCTGTCACCATGGTAACAAACTCCTCCAGCATCCCATAGCGGTCTACAAGTCCCTGCTGCACAATTTGCCACACTGCTGCTGACAAAAGCTGCAAGGGCGGGGCCAGGAGGCGAAGATATCGGACTGGAAGATCATTACCTGAAGTAGTGGGAACAAACAAGAAGTAAACGTCAAAAATGGTCAAACTTTTAATGTAACTGGGGACTTAAACTATTGATCCAGACTTTAATCTGGATTGTATAACTGTGCATCAACAGGCAGTAATGTAACTAATTCTCATAACTACCCACAACATGACACAAAAAAGTAGGAGTAAACAAATCAAGACAGGGATTTGTTGTGCCTCTAAAAAAACCAGGGTACACAATACACCTGCACAAATTGCTATCAGCCGCACAACAATTTTATGGTCCATAATGCTTGTCACAGGTATGTAGATGATATACATTTAGTTATTATCCATTGATTTAGCCATTTATGGATTCAGTATCTATAGTTTTACAAGACTTTTGTAGGCAATATTGTAAATGAATCAGCAGAACTTCTTTAGGGATATATTGGATTTTTATGATGGTTGCATCAATGTCCAGGAGAAACCTTTGTCAGACACGTTATTAACCAGATAAGCACAAAAAGACTATTAACTATAACTATTTTGTGGTGACTATTCTCATAATTAATTAATCTGCCCATTACTTTCGCAATTAATCTGCTTAGTTTACAAAATGACCATCATTATTTACCAGGGTCTAATGTAATATCACCACGTTACTTGACGTTTTCTAACAATCTCTCCAAATTCGAACTATCCAAAGATCAGAACCTGAAACTAAAATGAGAGAATATTTAGCATTTTGCTTTAAGAAATTACTGATTTGATGAATCATTTCATCAGTTGACTAAATGTTTCAGCTCTGTGCATGAGAGGCTACTTCACTTTAATATGTTTGGGGATACATAAGACAGGAATACCTGAATTTTGATGTTTAGACAAGCAAAAATGATCCAAAACCAACTTCAAAAAGCTACTTTAACTATACAACACACAATTAGTACTCCAACAAGCAATCTATGTCAGCAATATCCGACTGACATGTGCTGGCCAAGAGCACACTATGCATAAGTGAATTAGATTTCTAGTAGCAAAGTGCTAGCTGAAATAATAACATGAGGATGGATGCTGCTGTCAGGTGCACTGACAGCAGCATCCATCAGTCTCCTAGCGCGATTTACACAGCAGGATACTGACTCCCGCTGTAGGCTGCACAAGCTGTTGAATTTCTGACAGATATTCTAAAGGAAAAATAGAATAACGTGTAATCAATGATAATATCAGACTATACAGACATTAATCCATTGAATCCCCGAAGGAGTGATGGAAAACATCCTGTACTTTAGATCCCAATAAGCTCGTTGTAGATCAAGTTTGTCCTTAGAACACTGCAGGAACATTATTACAGAATATACGATGTAATTTCCCTTGCGTGTTAAGGTCATTGATGTCAACACAGAGATCGCGGATCATTATAAGACTGATATTATTTTTCATTAAAGTACACGCACCTCGGCTGCTTCCACTCTCAGTTCCGCGTTTTATTTCCATTTAGCAGTTGATGGCAAAAAAAGACAGACCAGACGTGCCCGACAGGTTATAGCGATCAGAGGATCAGAGGAAAAATAAGAAGACTAATTAATCAATTCTGCTAACATCTGTGTAATAAAACATCCATGTGCGATCGACAACCCGCAAAATGCAATTGCAATTTTGCTGGGAGCATTGACAGGTTCTTATTTTTTCGAGCACTGGAAGGAGACACAGAACAAAGGTTTCTGGTCTCATCCGCCTCAGTCCAGATCACGGCAAACCCTCTTTCCTGGTTGGCTGTCGAAGACCGGATCAACCAAGCAATTCGCACAATGTACGGGTAGATGGCGCTATCGACTTTCCATTTCCACCAGGTCTGCTTTTAAATTTGTAGGAATATATAACGTGGTAAAAGGAGAATTTAGATTCTTTCTAAAGTAACACTATCACTATATTAAAATGTTCAAATACAAGCAAAAGTCCTGCACTGAAATTGTTAACTTAAAACTACAGTCAAATACAGCACAATTATGTGCATAAGTCAAAGTACACTATGCCGAAAAAGTACACTTTAGTGACTGTTATCTTATTGCAAATTAAAATTTTCCTCAGACCGAAGGCTGAATGGAACGAATCGCATCTAATTTATTTATTTCCTTTGCAAATCTCTTTCTAATATAGTTTTAAAGGTGCTACATAAATAACATTAATCATTATTAATGTATAATCACCATTATTGTAGCTGGTTCAATATTCATCTTCAAAATAACTAGTAATGATAGTTGTGATGTATGTACATAAATGTAGTAGAGTAAAAAGAACAATATTATTACAATTAAAGTACCTTTTACTTCAGTACTTTAGTAAATACACAACAGTATGAAGACATATACAGATATCTTGTTTATATATAAATCTTATTTATTTGTTGTTCAGATATTAATCTGTTTATGTAGTAGCTCTTTATGGCTCACTCCCTTGCTTGTTTAGTAAATTACTTTCACTACTATTGTGTCTGTAAATGCGTGGTTCAGTAAAGAAGGGGAAAAAGGGCAGGGTTGATATAAAATCAGGGAACACATAAATGTAGCCCTGTGTAGGGTAAGGTGGAGACATTTGCAACACTTTTTGCACTTTGCTCAGTTACTCAGAGATTATGAACACTCAACCTACACAATTTTAACATTTTAAACATAGTACATCTGTCAGCTCCTTAACCATTCCATTAAAACATGTCTAATTATGATAATAAGTTCAGAATTTGCATTTGAAGAGACTGGGGACAGTTGCAGCATCCATTAAAAAGGTACTCATGAACTCACATTTGTCTGGATTTTTTAACTGTTTTACAAACAATGTACTGTCTGTGTCTATGAAAATCACAGTTAATTTGACTCTCTGGGGGTCCAGTAGGCTACCTTGCTCTCAGTGGCTGTTCGATACCTAGCTCCTGTCTTAAATGAAAAAAAACAACAACACACACACACGTACACTGGTACAGGGTGATGTGGCAAATAGCGAAGTCCTTTGCCACTGACCTAGCTTTAACTGCTCTGCCATCCCGGACCAAATCTGATGCCCATGTCAGAAAATGTAGGCTAGGGGGATACTCCTATCAGTGAACTGTTTCCTCACTGGCATGCTGAAACAAGGTGAAATAATAAGTGAGACAACATTAGTATTTCCATATTGGGTTAAATAGGATGTGAGGTTAATTTTGTTATTATTGTTGTATCAGTTTTTATATGATGCTGAGTGGGGACAGTTCCCACATACTGTCTCTACTCCCACCAGCCATGATACAATTCTTTATACTAGCTTACTACAGTAACCTTAACACATGCTAGATATGTCATTTAACAGTAAACAAAACAATTACTAAAATATGTAATCAGACAGGATAGTAAAACAAGAAATACAATCATGAAAGAAATTACTTTCATATTCCAAAACACTTTAGGGAGGAATAGGTCCAGAAAGCACTGTTACAACGGTCCCTTGTTACAACTGTCCCCATGTTACCCAAATTAGCATTAAATAAAAACTATTAATGACATTGTCTTTCAAAGCATCTATGTTTCTTTTAGTGCCCAAAACCTTTTAAGAGTACTGTATGATTGCAAAGTGAAGGACTCTAGATGCTACATGGGGCCCGCAACCATTTGTGTCCGCAGTAAGAGACTTTGCGGAACTGCCACTTCACTCCGGTACTGTAGAGGGCGCTACTATAGGAAAAACAAACGAAGAAAGCTGGATCACAACCACGTAATGTCCATGCAAATTCCCAGTAGTCCAGGTCATGGGAAGCTGAAAAAAACGTAGAAAAAAAATCATCTAGACTTGATTTTAGGTAGAAGACGTTTCACCTCTCATCCAAGAGGCTTCATCAGCTCGGTCCGACTGGTGGTGAAATACCTCCTGCTCACCACCAGTCGGACAGAACTGATGAAGCTTCTTGGATGAGAGGTGAAACGTCTTCTACCTAAAACCAAGTCCAGATGATTTTTTCTACTTCACACAACCACGTGATATTTATTGTTACTACAGGTAAGATGGCAGTGTACAGTGATTCATATGAACGCCTAAATTAAATTCTGGACGATGAAGAGGAAGAAGAGTTGTGTTTGTGGTATTTACTGCACAAAGAGGAATCAAGATGATGGTCCGCTCGGCCTCAAAACCACAGGAGGAGAGAAGATGGAGAGTTTATTAAATTCGTGAAACCAATGCGCCTCAGCAATGGTGAGATGCACTTCAGATCTGTTTGTATGTCTGCAGATCGGTTTGATGATTTACTGCATCGAATCAAGCATTTTGTTAAACATGCCAACAGTATATGCCTGTTACATGGTGATGAGCTCATCAACACTTAACAAGTTGGCCTTTTATCGCCAGTCCTGAATGTTTGCTGGAGTCTCTTCCTGTCCTGTTTGGTTGTGGAGCCAAACCAGATAGTGATGGAGGTGCAGAGAACAGACTCGATGATTCCTCTGTAGAACTGTGTCAGCAGCTCCTGGGACAGGTTGGACTTCCTCAGCTGGCACAGGAAGTACATCCTCTGCTCTGCCTTCTTGGTGATGGTCCTGATGTTGGATGTCCACTTCAGGTCCTGGGAGATAGTGGAGCCCAGGAACGGATGAGGGGGTGTCTTCCTCAAGTCCACTGTCATCTCCACTGTTTTGAGCGTGTTCAGCTCAAGGTTGTTGCCACCACACCACAGGACCAGCTGTTGAACCACTCCGTCTATAGGCCGACTTGTCACCATCTCAGATGAGACCAATGACCGCTGTATCATCTGCAAATTATAGGAGTTTAACAGAGGGGTTCTCTGACTGTTCAGTCATTTGTGTAAAGGGAAAACAGCAGTGGAGAGAGAGCACACATCCCTGGGGTGCACCTGTGCTCAATGTGGTTTTCCCCAGCCTCACCTGCTGCTTCCTGTCTGTTAGAAAACTGGAGATCCACTGACAGGTGGGGGCAGGCACAGTGAGCTGGGTCAGTTTAGAGTGGAGGATGTCCAGGATGATGGTATTGAATGGCGAGCTGAAGTCCACAGAGAGGACTGGTGCATAGGTCCGGTCCCTAGGGAGTCTAGGTGGATGTTGACTGCATCATCCACTGACCTGTTTGCAGGGGGTCTACGGTGTCCTTCAGGTGGGCCAACACCAGACCCTATAACTATAGATGGATTGGGTTTCTTGGGGACCGGGATGATGATGGAGCGGTTGAAGCAGGAGTGGACCTTCACACAGCTCCAATGATCTGTTGAAGATGTGAAGATGTGAAGATGGGGGGCCAGCTGATCAGCACAAGCTTTCAGCTAGGAGTGGGTCACACATCCGGGCCTGGTGCCTTTATTTTTTTGTTTTTTAATATGGCCACGCACATCGTTTTCACAGATCTTCAGGGGTGGGGGGGCTGGGGGAAGGGAGGTTATCATGGGGGGAGCAGCTGTTGGGTCAGCGGTGAGGTAGGTGAGGGGTGTTGAGCTCTGTTTCTAAAACCGACAGTAAAACACATTCAGGTCATCTGCCAGTTGATGGTCTTCTACAGCAGGGAGGGATGGTTTCCTGTAGCTAGTGATATTTTTCAGGCTTCCTCACACAGATGAGGGGCCATTGGCTAAAAACTGGTTTTTCAGCTTTTCAGAGTAGCTCCTCTTTGCTACTCTGATCTCCCTTGTCAATATGTTCCTGATCTGCCTTTACAAGATCCTGTCCCTGGCCTCCTCTTTGGCACAACAAAAATGCTGGAGTTTTACCATGAACCATGTCTTGTTATTGTATGTGCAGAAGGTCTTGGTGGGCACACATATGCCCTCAAAAAAAAAAGCTGATGTAAGATGTTACAGTGTGAGTGAGTTCATCCAGGTCTGTAGACACAGCCTCAAATACACTCCAGTCTATGCAGTCCAAGGACTGTAGCTCTGACATTGCCTGCTTGGTCCAACTCTTCACTGTTCTGGCCACAAGCTTTGCAGCTTTAAGTTTCTGCCTACATGTTGCATACAATGGAGCATGCAGTGATCAGACAGACTGAGGACTGGGGGACAGAGAGATATGTGTCTTTTATTAGCAGTGGTCCGATGTGTTTTTGTCCCTGGTGGGAGAGCTGACATGCTGTCTGTATTTGGGCAGCTCATGGGTGAGATTTGCTCTGTTAAAATCCCCTAGAGCAATTGTTTTCTTTGTTTATGTATTTATTTTTACTGTTGGGTGGCCAAAACCAAATGGGAGACTGTAGTATTGAAATGGGCACATTTGAAATATTTAGCTTTATTTTGAAAGTTTAGCCCCATTCAAATGAATGGGAAAATTCTACTTCAGCATACTTTCAGCTATCAAAATGTTCAGCTCTTCAAGGACATTCATGCTTCTATTCAGAACCTTTGTAAACTTCATACTTTTGAAATATTTAGCTTTATTTTGAAAATCCTGCCCCATTCAAATGAAAGGGGAAATTTGTACTTCTGCATACTTTCAGTTATTAAAATGTTCAGCTCTTCAAGGACATTCATGCTTCTATTCAGAACTTTTGTAAACTTCATACCTTTGAAATATTCAGCTTTATTTAGAAAATTTTGCCCCATTCAAATGAATAGGAAAATGTAACTTCAGCATACTTTCAGCTATTTCAGCTATTAAAATGTTCAGCTCTTCAAGGACATTCATGCTTCTCTTCAGGATTTTTGTAAACCTCATACCTTTGAAATATTTAGCTTTATCTTGAAAGTTTTGCCCCATTCAAATGAATGGGAAAATTCTACTTCAGCATA